GAGAAATCTTGGAGTGTGTTTTTAAGTGCATAGCCATTTGCACTGGGGTTTAAGTTGAGGCTATGAAGGATCTGTCATGTTTGAAGAACATCTGAGAGTTCCCAGTTCCTGCAAAAGTCGCTGGGCGCTGCAGGGGCTCAGTTCTTAGGAAAAGATCAGGCTTACTCCTGGGAACTGCTTGATGATCAAAGGCCTATTGATGCTGAAAGGAAGCAAAAGCCTTTTAATGGCTGAGTAATGAATATAATTTTAAACTTGGCAACAGTGGGAGGAAACAAATAAGTAAGAATTTGAACCCAAAGATTACCATAGGAGAGGCTGAGTGAGAAGATGATTAATGTTACAAAAGTAGAACTTTTTTTTTTTTCTGGCAAAGGCCAACTTAGCTTCTACTTAAGTAAAGTGGCAGTTCCCTTCTGCCTGTTACAACATCCCAGCCTTCTTTACTTCAATTTTTTTTTTTTTTTGTGTAACCTAGGAGGCTATGTGTTTAAACCATAAAAAGAGGTGTATTCAGGATCATTTTTCCATATGCTTTGAAGGAAAGGTTGCAGCAGTGCTGCATTTTCTTGGAACACATTTTTTGTCCAAAAATATTTGACAGGAAGTTTCTTGCAGTCATTGTAGATAAACAGGTAGGCTGTGAGGCCTTGGTCTCTTGCTCAGTGGTTCTGATATCCCTCTCATATAGTCAGGAAACAGGGCTGGATAGATGTGATGAGTTGAAGGAGCTAGAGGAAGCAAAATCTTGAAAAGCTAATTCCAATTCATATCACTTCAGTGTGAGGATATGTGTTTTTGGGAAGCATATACCAAAGCTGATTGATGATGATGATGCAGAAAATGATTGACTAACTGTACCATCTGTTGTACTTCTACCCTGTGTTTTTCTCTTACCACTTGTGTATGTTCAAACTGTGTATTTTCTGAGAAATAGTGTTTGATGTGAAACAGAACTTAAAAGATTCGGCAAGTCACAACTTGTCGATGTCTCCATAAAGGAAAGGAAGCAAAGGTTAGGACAGGGAGTTTTGGATGCTGTTTGGTATTAGCTGTAGTGTTGTCCTTCCATCTGCTTGTGTTGCACTCACTGTCAGGCTGTGTAGGTGATACCAGCGTGGGAGCTGAGCACAGCTGTGATGCTCAGGAGCTTTCTGTGCCATGACTTTATCTGTGTTTCTTTTCAGGCTGATGAAAGAAACTGTGTATTTAATCTTTGCAGATGTATCTTGGCTCTATAAATTGTGGTAATTTTTCTGTGGAGATTTTAATAGAAACTGAGCTGGGGTGCTGCAGGAAGGCAGTTGTGATGCATCCTTGTGATCTGTTTAATTGTTTTCAGGGATGATGTGTCTTACCTTAAGCAAAAATATGTCTCTCAATCATGATTAGCATTTTCTCACATTAAAAAAGAGTCAATGTTAATAACAAAACAGTTTAAATAAATTTATATTTTCCTCCAGTTGTACTAAAATGAAATGTTGTGTCTCAGTGTTTCAGAGGAAGAGATTCTGCATGTTGAGAGGGAAGTGTTCTCTGTGTGTTTGCTTTTTAGCCTTTTTCCACGTTCCTTCCTTGCTCCTGGATAAGTCCTTTTGGGAGCCAGTACTATATCTTATTACAATTAAAGCAAATTTTTATTTTCATTTCATTTTCACTTGGAGAACACAGGGGACATAGGAGGCACAATTTCTTCCTGCACTAGTCTATTTTTTGAAAATGTTGTCATGTCCTGGATTGTCACATATCAGCATTTGAACCTATGTAGTAAGGGCTGGCATGTTGCTGAGAGCAGCTTCAGAGCACGTCGGCATTTTATGGCTTCTGTTACAGACCCAAGTCTGGATGGTGTTGAGGATCAGGGCGTGTGCTTTGCTGAACTTCCTGAACCAAATCCCTTATTATGGGAGCCAGTGCAGTGCCTTCACCTTGGGCTGCTTGGAGCCTAGCAGAATTCTACTGTTTCAGTCTGTATCAAAGCACTGTTTGGGGTTTTTTTGGGGGTGGGGGTGATCTGTGGATGTATCCCCTAATTCCCAGGCTCCCATGTGCTCCGTGTGTTGGTGCCATGCCTCGAGGTTCATTTGCAAACCAGTAAGGAAGAGCTTGGGGGTGGTTTTGAGGTTTTTCTTGAGTTCTCATTCTAGGAAAATCTGAGTGTCAAAGCTGTGACTCTGAAGAGGTTCCTGAGGAGCAGGAGTTGGGGTTCTCCCCGCAGCTTGGGCAGTGGCAGGGCTGGGGCAGTGCGTGTGTGAGGGGCGCCTTGCTGGAGCCTGGCAGACGGCGTCTCCGCGTGGGTTTCCTTGCTGGCGCCGGGCAGGACATGGAGACCTCCTCTCCTCTTGGCACGGGGCCACGCAGGGCCTGAGTTGACCGTGCTTCTCAGGGGCTTTCTGCCTGGCTTCCTGACTCTTGACCTTAGGGACGTGCCCTGTGAGTTACAGCATAGCCCAGGTTTTCAAAAGGTTTTCGTGATACATATACGATAAAATAGAATTGGAAGGGGTTTTAGTTCTTGTCTTCAGACAGTTTAAGGTCTTGCCTGCAGCTTCAAGAGGGGAAGGCTGCTGCTCTCAACTGCATTATTAAATGAATAGCTACTTAGTGTTTTTTCCCCTTATCCTTCTGCTTCTGAAACTGTAGCTCCTTCTGTTCAATGAGGCTGGAGGAAAACTCGGAATGAAAATTACATTGACCCGATTCAGACGGGAGGCAGAGGGTGGGTGGTGATCCCGAGCAGCAAAGGGGAGGGGAGTGACCCCTGGCCTGGCTGCAGGGGCAGCTGGCTGTGCATGGCCAGCAGCCTGGGCCATGGTACCCTGTGAGGGTATTGAATACTGAGCAGTGCGCGGTGCTCCTGTACCTGTGTGAGCCCCCCTGTCTGCTGGGAGGGTCCTGAGCTGAAACCTTTGTCTCCTCTGAAACCTTCAGGAACTGGCACTATGGCAGATAGGCAGTGTCCCTGCCCTTCCCCTCTACCCCCCCTCCACACTCTTTAGAAAGAATTTATTGCTGGGAAGAGAGCTTGGGGTCAAGGAAGGTTCAGGGGAAGAAAAGGCCTTTAGAAGTATTACAGCTGCTGTCTTTGCAGCAAGCAGCACATAAGTTGCTTTACATTCAGTGTCAGGGTACATATAGGAAACATAGCTGCTTGTTATCATAAATATTATTGTTGTGAGAGATTCAAGTGGTTTAGGGTTTTCCTTTTGTTTGAATGTAATCAGAACCTCTGAGCAAAACAACTCGATTACTTGAGTTTGGGTGCTTGCCAGCCTAGAAATAGAAGGACATCCGTAATCCACATGGATGTAAGCACAGTATTTTAGTAAAAAGCAATTTTCAAGGTCATAATATGTAGCCTGCCTTTTTGTGAAATACATTCACTTAAAAAAATCATTTGCAAGCATACCATTTTAGATAGCAAATCTAGCCAATATTGCTTCTAGTTTGCCTTATAATTTTTACTAAGATTTTGTATTTTGCAGTTGGTGTTTCCCTCACCTGACTGCACAAAGCTTTTCTGGCACACACAGTGTAACTGCCCAGCTAACTGCTTATAGATAGGAAATTGCTGACATGCAAAATTACATCAGATGTACAGGGGAAGTGGTTCTATTATACAGTTTATTACAGAAGGATTGTAGGTATTTACTGAAGGTCAGTGATTCCTGCTTTCTTCTTTTTTCTTTTATGAATGTTTAAAATTGTTTGCAGGAGTAGGGTACATAGCTATTACTGGACACTTCTGTTTTGCTATATTTGGAAACAGTTTGACACTAGCAAAGTTGGAAACTATGCTAAACGTGCACAGTCTAACCCCTGAATATGTTTTTCTGCCTTAGTGGTACAAGTACATCCTTACTGCAGTTCCGTATATAGAAATTTGCCATCTGTCAGCATCATTTTCCAGAGCTCCCACTGAGTCAGGAAACCCCCTCTGCGGCAGTCGGACCTCTTGGTAAACTGCTAGCAAAGGCAGTCCTCTGCCTCTCCTCTAGGGATGATTAAACTTTCAGAGGATGGCTATTGGTGTAACATTTGGGAAGATGTCACTGGTGGGGTGGACAAGGCTCTTCCCTTGCAAAGTGGGCACTTGAGAATTGGCGAGTATGAAGAAGAATATAGGGATTGTATGTATACAGTAGACTGTGCAGTAGAGTAGAAATCAGGCAGGAGAGAGATGCCTGCATGCTTTTCCTTCCCCACTGTCTATAAAGATTAGGGCAAGAGATTCCCTTGTTTTGCAGTAGAATTTCAGAGGCAAGGTGTATTTAAAGGGTCTGGCTTGCCTTGAAATCCTTCTGCTGTGCATGTGGCACAGGTTTATTGGTGCTTTGGCATGGGGCTGGTGGAGTTGAGTGCATGCAGATGTGGTTGAGGAGGAACAGAGGGATTTGACCTGGTGTTTTCTGAGTTTCTGAGACCTTTCTAAATATGTTTGTGTAATTGCTTTAAATGCAGCTGCTTGGGTTTCCTGGTGAGCAGCTTTCAAGCCTGTTTATTGCCAAGCAACATTGCCTTGTTTTTTGTCAAATAGACAAAGTTTGTTCTTTGAAAGTGGCAACACCTTCAAAATAATGGATTCTTTTACTCCTCAGGGAAGAGTTGGGGTGGAAATCTGAACAACAAGAATGTTAGTTTTTCACAGTTATTGTTGCAAATGGATTTGCCAGCTGGTGTGCTTGTCACCCCCACTGACTGCTCCTCAATTTGCTTCACAATGAAATGGATGGATAGCTTTTTCCTTCCCACTGTTCTTGAAGGATGGTATCAGGAATAGAAATCACTGAGAAGGATGCATATACCTTGTGTGCCACATTACTGTGTTGTGCAGCAAATTCTTGATATAACTGATTTGTCAGCTGTAACTATCCCATGGATTTCAAGGTTGCTTTGGATGTAAGCTATTGTCTGAAACCAGGGTTTCTGTACAGAGTAGATACTTGTTGATAACACTGGTGCACCATGATAATCATCCTTCCTTTCTCTTCTTCCTGAAGCTTGTGCAATGAAGACAGAAATTTGCTGCGCATTCGAGAGAAAGAGAGACGGAGTCAGGAGGTTCTGGAAGACAAAAAACAGTTTTCTGAGAAAACTCCCCTCTTTGCAGAACCCTATAAGGTAATGGTAGGGGGGGCTGGGAGGGGAAGAGAGGAGGAGAGAGGGCTGGGGTGGAAGAGGAAAGCTGTGGCTCTGCATAGACTTGAGCATGATAAATACAAACACAGCATTTTCCCATCTGCTTAACTTCAATTCCTCAGAGTATGTGCTTGAATCTCAGTTGGTTGTGCAGGAGCAGTATGGACTTTGGGCTGGCCTCCTGTAGTTTGAGGGAGGGTGCTCAGGAGTAGCTTGGCTGCCTGTCTGTCTGCAGCTGTGGGTGTAACAAATGAATCTGATGTTAGCACTCCTGGAGGCTGCAGGTGCACCAAGCTTGGCTTGATAGTGGCTTAAGCAGTCCCATCTGCTTTGGAGACATTTGCAGGATCAAGATGAGCTTACCTAACTTCGCTCGTGGTGATGTGTGGTGCTTAAGTTAAGATCCTGAAGAATGTCTCTTCCATGAGCTGCATCTCTTGGGGGGCTTTTGAAATGTTCACCTCTTTGTTCTTCTGTTGCAGACTAATAAAGGAGATGAGTTGTCTAGCCGAATTCAGAACATGCTGGGCAATTATGAGGAGGTCAAGGAGTTCATGACCAACAAATCTTGTCAAAACCTTATTGGGATTCCAAAGAGCGTTGCCCCTCAGTTTGCCCCCGGGCCACCTGAGAAGGCCATCCGTACACTGCCATCTTCATTCCAGCACCTGACCCGCCGTCCACCCGTGGGACCCATGGTTGTACCCCCTCGCCCTCCAAGCCACTCCAGCCACTACCCAAAGGCACAGCCAGGAACAGAGCCAGCTTTGGGTTTGCACAGCAAGAGCCGCAGCTCGGCCAGCGCTCGCAGCCATGGCCCCGAGCACGGCCGCGGGGGCCGGGATGCGCAGGCAGGCTTTCCCCACAGCCACCATGGCAGGCCTGGCAGCGGGGAAGGTCGGGCTCACGGCCTGCAGGCCTCCCCTCTGGCGCTTTCCCCCTTCCTGCCATGTTTGTTGTCTTCTCCCGTGGCACCCCTGTCACCTCTACATTCCAGCCAGCATATCAATTCCAGGTCACAGAACAGCAGCAAAAGTCATGGGTCAACCTACAATCAAACCAAATCATTACAGGACTTGGTGACGGGATCACAGGAGAAGGAAAGTCGGGACAGCCCAGCCGTTACCTTGACCAGCACCACTCAGCCTTCCTCTCAGACTTTTCCCCCTTCTTTGACATCAAAAGCCAGTGCAATGCAGCAGAAACCAACTGCCTATGTCAGACCCATGGATGGCCAAGATCAGGCATCATTTGAATCCCTGGAGCTCAAACCTCTCCTGGAGGAATACCATGAAGGATCCAATGACGATGTCTCAGATTTGAAGGCCAAAGTTAAAGCTGAGCTATCCAAGCTGGAAAACCTCTCTGAGCCCAAGGAAGAGACTGATGAAGATCTGTCAGATTTGAAGGCAAAAGCCAAAGTAGAACTATCCAAATTCGAAACCCCTTCTGAGCCCATAGAGGTGAGTGCAATTTTTAGGCATGTCTGTTGGAGCAGAGTAAGTTTGGCTGTGGGAGAACAGGTCATCAAACAGCAGTGACTGCCAGAAGCAGGGATGACTGTGTGTGTTTGGAAGGTGCATTTCAGGTTGACCTGGGTGTAAGATACCTGTTTGAATGGTCAAAATGTGACACTTCCTGTGATTTTCCTGTTGTTTTCTCAGTGAGGCTACAGCAGGTTTTATAGCTTGAACTTGCCTCTGCGCCCGTAATTTTTGTTTTCCTCTAATGCTTATTGAAAAGAAGGGGAAAATGATATAGTGAGAAGATCAAGTGTTGATGCAGAGTGTCAGGACTCAGTGGTGGAGTGTGGAGGCCCCAGATCCTCACTGAATATAGACAGCCAGCAGTGCAGTGGATTCTGTGGTCACCTGGGTTTTGTGACTGGGAACAGCAAAGATTCTCCTCTGTAGGTTTGTAAAATTTCACTGTAGACCCACAGGAAAGTATGACTTGGTATTGCAAGTTTTCTTGTTGTACTCCATCTGTTTTTGCTGACCCAGTGCCACCTCTCTGGTTTGTCATGTGGGATGGAGACAGAAAGCTGGTAAAGCCATGGGAGAGGAGGAGCAGCGTTTTACATGGGTTGTTCAGCAAATGCAGCTCCTTTTCCTGTGCCCCCTGAAGCCCAGTTTCAGCTGTGCCAAGGGACCAGCACGCTGACTCTGCCTGCCTCGGGACTTGGCCTCCTGTGAGCTCAAAGGCATGTGGTTCCCTGGTACATTTGGGGGATTTACTGGGCTCATACTTCAGCCCTGATGTTGTTGCTATGCCCTATGGGATGTAGGAACCCATGGTCCTAAAGCAGCTGGGCAAGGAGGGTTTCAGAGATTGTTTCAATTTGTATTTTGCTGCCTCTGTAATGAAAAGAAAGAGTGTGGGTGCAGTCTCTTTTTCATGGAAAAGGGTGTGGATCGGCTGCAAATGGCTGTAGGCAGTATCTTGTGGGAAATGAGAGGAAGCTGTCAAAATGACATTGCTGAGAAGTTGTGAAAATACTTTCATGCTGAGAGACTTTATTTGCTACCAAGTAGGTTTGGCATTGCACATCACACCTCAAAACAGGAAGTTCACTGAGGTCACATTACCTTATTTGCTTAACCAGATTTTACTCCTGGGAGAGGAAGAAAGCAGTGCAGGGCATCACCTTCTACATATCTTATTGTCTCATCTGCATTATTGTCTTATCTCTTTTTCCATCCCTGTCCTTCTTCTGTCATCTCATGTAACTCTGGTTTAATACGGATTTTGGTAGTGCAGCATTATATATGGTGCTGTGTGCTGAATGAGACCTTTTTCTCACTTTCTGTTGAGCACATGAGTCTGAGTCCAAATGCCAATGAAAATCCTACAGTTGCCAGTGCAGGAGTAGCATTGCTCATGCTCCTTCTGTTTCATCTGTGGTAAAGTAGGAATGCAGTAAAAAGGGAATTGAAGATAACAAAAAAAAATGTTTTTGCACAGTTCAGGACCCTGGTTTTAATTATATGCTTAGTCAATTTTGAAGCTGATAGAGGAATCTTTTTTTGTGAATATGCTGAATGATTCTGCTTTGCAGTAGGGATCTTTGGGCTGCGGCCCCTGATTGTTTTCTGTGCATAGGCAGGCAGGAATACAGGCATTTTGGATAATGGCTCTGTAAGCTCTAGTGAAAAATACATTACTTTGATTCCTGCTTTTTTTCAGTCTTGTCATTGTCACATTTGCTTACTTCTGTTTGGTCTCAGTGATGAGCTTCTCATTGGTAATAGAGCCCTCCAGGGCTGAAGCCTGGAGGGAGAAGAGGAAGAAACAGTGAGGTGGCACCCCTGGGTATATGAGCTGTGTGCTGGATGTCCTGTTCAAGAGAAGCTGCTTGGGGGTCTGTTGGCTGGAAGGTTGTCCCCCTCTTTAGTTCTTGGTGAAACAGGAGCTGTGGGGAGGCTCCTGCCCTGCAACGACCCTGACAGTAAATAGTTCTAGACTAGCAGAAACTCTGTTGTTCTTCCCTCTTCTCTGAATGGTTTGGCCCCACTTTACTGAACAGCCACATGCCAAATACAGTTTTTCCTGTGATCTCCCTTGACAGGACTTAGGAAAGCCATTTCCTTAACATGTGTTCTGGTTAATTGAATTTCTAAGGCATGTTTCACCTGCAGCTGTGAATTCATTATTGACAGCTCCTGCTCATGGGAACACTGAAAAGTTCAGCCTTCCAGGCCAAATAGACACACAGTTTCCCTGCAGAGTGTATGAATCCACAGTGGATAAGCGTGCAGTGACTCACTTTGCATTCACAGAGACACTGAGCAGCTCTTTCCCCTCTTCCCCAAATCAAAGCCTTCACTTTCAAATGTCATCACTGTTGCTTTAAGGCATCTTCCCAAATTTGCTGTGAGAAGATTTAAAAATATAGCACACATGTAGAAGCTTGGATGTATCCCTTCTCTTCATGTGCCAGGTTTTTCCTCTTCTCCAGCACCTAAACAAAGATGCTTTTAAAGCCATTCTCCCTCTCCATGTCTCTAGGAGGGCTGCAGCACCAACAAAGACCCTTGTATTGCCTCCATTGACACAGACTGTGATGTGTGAAAGGGAATCAGTTTGACAGCAGGGGAAGAAGCAGCCAGGCTGTTTGGAGGGAGAGTGTTTATAAATCCTCAAGCATTATTAAGGACATAATGTATGGAGGAATGTACAGCCCTTGATGCTCATTGAAGGTTTGGATTTGTTTTCCCAAAATTTTGGGGGGTATTCGGGCATAGCTCCTTCTACCTGGTGTAATGAGGCCTCATCAGGCTCTCCTGCCTGTGAACTGGGAAGCAGCCAGTTTAGAACCCCTCAGCAACAATGAAGCAGCCCAGATGTGTAAAGTCATTTTGGTAATAACACTGTATTTATTCTTGTGTACAAGTTGCTGTCATTGAGCTGTGTTTTCCTCAGTAAACATTTATCAATTTTAACAGTATATAACAACCAATTAAAATGTGGTTGTTGTATATAGTAGATAGGAATTACTAAATACCAGTGAAGATGTTTGGATGGCAAAAAAAAAAAAGTCTGTTCTAGGTAAATAACATTTCACTGGACTTCTCTTCATGGTGCCTGAGTTTTTCTACTGGCAGAAGCTGTCAGACAGGTGAACCCTGTAAAGTAGAAATAAATATGTTGTTTTAATTCTTCATAATTTCAAAATGAAAATTTTTAAAGACACTTGTAGCACTGTTGGCCTTATATAATGAATACACAGTAGTCAGCATTAAGCTACTGTCATCTTCCTACCAAACTTTTATGCATTTCTCATTTACTGAATAGAAGGAGACTGTGTTTTGTTTGGGGTTTTTTTTTCCCTCACCCCTTGTATTCCTTTTTTGACTATTTTATTTTCCTTGCTTTGCACCAGGACAAGTAACAAGGTGTTACTTCTATGCCGCCGCTGCTGCCCTTTTTATAATCTGAAGTGCCGCAGGTGATTGGGGAAGGGTTTCCATGCTTCCCCACAAGGCATTGTGTCAATTTGTCTTGCTGCTGGTGTGTGACTGCTAAAGAAGCAGATCAAACATGAATGAGAATTGTTACTTTTTTGTTTTGGATACAAAAAGTTGTAAAGGCAAAAAAAGTAAGCTTCAACCTCACCATAAGAGCTGAAAGTGTCATTTTTGGTAGGCTTCCCTAACAACTTGCATGTAAATATCTGAAGCTGTGCCGTCCAAGGCCTTTCCCACAAGTCTTGGGCATTGTGGTGTGAGCAGAAATGAATTGCAGCCAGAGGAAGGTTTACTGGGGATTCTCTGCTGCTCATTGTCATACCAAGTGCCCAAAGACAAATTCTTTCACTTGGGTCTTCTCCATGTTCCCTTTTGGCGCTCAGAAGTGAAAGCAGTTGGTACTTTTTATGCACTTACATTGTTTTAATTTCTTGTTCCCCTCATTCACTGGGTTGCAGGTACTTCCATAGGCAATGACCTTGATTGCTGCCTCTTGGGATGGTTGCATGGACCACAGGCAGACTGAGGGTTTGACTAGTGGTTATGAGGTCAAGATAGCACACAGCTTTTGCATTTTTAAATGCATAAACACATTTTGGCTTCTCCTCTTTTTCCCTCAGATGATGAGCATGCAATATCTTAGGAGAAGTGACAGTCAATCCCAGTTGACAGGAAAGAATTACTCGTCAGTGCTGTGTTTTGGGTTTTTCAGCTTAACCAAGCCAGAGTGTGCGGGTGTAGTTATGTAATCAGAAAAAGCTACTTGTATTTGATTTAATAGGTCAGTCCCACTGGATGCAAAAGAGAATTTTCCCTTGTGTGCATCTTCTTTGGAAGAAGCCACATTTTCTATCCAGGCTTGAAATAAACCAGCAATAAAATGCCAAAGCAGCTCTGATGGCTCACGCGAATCATCCTCCACCAACCTCTCTGTAGATTTCTGAAACTCTCGGCGCTGTTTCTTGCACAAGTGGAAAGTGCCAAAGGGACAGATGTTGCCAATTTGAACTGTACAGGGGGAAGGCAAATATTGCTAAGCAACCGAGTGCTTGAGAGAATTTTTCGGAGAGGAGCCAAGGGAGTTATGTCTGGGAGCGCCTGCAGCTTCTCATGGCTCAGTGTGAGGGAAGAGATTAAAAGTTCTTTCCTGTCAGGGCTGACGCCGCCAGCACAAAAGACACCATAACCTATTGACACTGATTAGGGCTGACAAGGCAATGTACGAAAACAGGAAATCTGCCCTGCCATGTGGGAAGGCAGTAAGACATGTTCAGAGAGGTAAGTGCAGCACACAGCCGGTGCCAGGGTGGGGTCAGCAGTTGGCTTCAGCGGGACCAGGTGGAACCCAGGCAGGCACCCAGCCCCGTGAAGTCCAGGGCAGGTCGTGTCTGGGTCTGCCTTTCACATCTGACTGGGAGCAGGTCGCTGAAGGACAGGCTGGCAGGGAGAGGGGAGTGTTTCAGTGAGTCTTGTAATAATTGCAGGCTGCCTCACGT